ATTAGGTCTGCTTTAGACCCCGTGTGATAAGGTCCTTAGTGTGCACAATAATTCTTTTGTTCGCAATAATAATAAGTAGCAAGTAAGTAGAGAATTTTGGATGTTCAAAGCATCAGTTAGAGTTTCAGCAGACTTATAAAGTTCAACAGCCCTGTGAACTAGGCCAGTAGCACTAACACCGTTTTACATACAGAGGCAGAATGACTAGTACTTAACAATTTTGTTCCATATTTTAAAGTTACAGTAATGCTGTTAAAGCACTTCCCAAGCATTATGTAATCCTTACATCCTTAATGATACTCATTATCCCACATTTTACATATCAGAGGACTAATAGATAGTAACTTGCCTGACATATTGAAAGTCCATGGCAGAGGCAAAATTCAAAATAGAGACTAGGTAGTTCACAGCTGATCCTCTTCACTGTTATGCTACATCAGTTTCTCAGATTAGTAACTAGTCTGTTAGCAGACCAAGTTGTGATTTGAACTGTGTACTTGCCAGCTCATTAGAGCTTACATTCTTGGATCCTACAATGCATGAATTCTCTGACTTCATTTAATCAGTTCTACAATTCTTATTGCAATAGATCTACTGGTCCCGATTTCATAGCAGAAGAACTGAAGCAAACCCAGTGAGGTTTATATCCAAAGGGAAATTTGTAGTGAGACTCAAGGCCATACATTTGTCCACTCAACCCCAGTAAAGGTTGACATTTTACCTAGTGCACTGCATACCTACATTTCAGCTTGCTGCCATCGCTGGAAAGGACACCTCTCAAAGCACACTTGAATTGCATTGATTTCTGTGCAAAAGAAATTAAGCGCATGCATGTAAATATGACACAGATTGTGGCTAAACCTATTTCAGCTGTCCAGTGGATATAACTGAACCAAACTTAAGCCATTCCAGCTTCCATTAATTTTGATCGCAGAGGGATTTGGAAGGGTTGGAAGTGGCTCTGATAGGATCATTGCATGAGAACAATTACTCATGAGGTATTTGTAGTGCAAAATATTGCTATTCCCCACGTAATATGTTAATTGCATTAAATCATAGCACCTGATACCAGATCACTAAACAGAGTACTAAAAAACAATTCATAGTTTCCCCCCCACACACACACACTTCCTAGTATGATTAATTAATAAAATATGCAGTGTGGTAGTTACAGGCTGCACAGTTTCTTCCATGACTAATTTAACCTTTTCCAGGGGTCACAAATTATGTGTGGGGCCTTGATGATCTCTCTGTGCCTGTGTTAATTTTTCAGCAGTTGCTTCAGAAAGTGATTCCATAAATAATCATGCAAAATCAGAGGTAGTCCCACTGCGCTGCTCTTCTGTTTTGAAATGTGCTTTGGCCTGGTTGCTTCTGTGTCACATATAAAGAGAGAGATTCTTAATTGCCATGCATTTGTAGAATAATCTTGAAGCAAACGAACTAGAAAGAAGAAGAAGTTATGCATAAGTGATGTAAAAGATCAATGTTATTCATGGAATTGATCTGAAATGTCCTGGGTTTCTTCAGCTTGCCCACTAACTTTGGGCAATGTATTTATTTATTACAATAATATTTCTAAAATGTCCATTAGCCAAAACTGTCTGGAATATTTAAGACCTCATGTGGCAATGTGCAAAGCCTTTTCAAGATCTTAGTGAGCTCTAGTTGTTGTTGTGTGCCTTTAAGTCATTGCCAAGTTATGGTGACTTTAAGGGAAAACTGTTGTGGGATTTTCTTGGCAAGATTTGTTCAGTGGGAGTTTGACTTTGCCTTCCTCTGAGGCTAAATGCAATTTGCCCAAGGTCCCTCAATGGGTTTTCATACTAAAGAGGGATTTGAACCCTGATTTTCAGAGTCATAGTTCAATGTTCAAACCACTACACCACTCTGGCTATCAGTGAAAGGACATAGTGGGGTTTATTTTTATGTTTTCATCTTTAGTAGGTGTACAGAAAGATTGATCTGCTTTTTCCCATTTGGCAGTTACTTCTATTAGCTGTTGTTACATTCTCTATAGATTCTTTCCAGTTACTCTTTTTCTTCCCATTTTACTCTCTGATCATTTTTGGTCATTCTTCTTGTTGGCCTCTCTTCAATAAGATGATTATAACATATGCTTCCCCAAACCTGTCAAAAGTAGTGATAGCTGGCAGAGGTGAAGGATATATGTTACAGCTGCTGAATCATAATGTCACACTTGAAATTAGGGTAGTTAAAAAAGTAATAAAACAGCTGGGTTCCCAACTCTGACCTTATTCAGTGATTAAGGGCCTTTGCAGACTGCCAGAAATAGTGCAAATTGAGTCCACTTTAAGGGTTAGGGAATCATGGGAACTGTATTTTATTGTGGCACCAGAACTCTCTGACAGAGAAGGCTCAATGTCTCAGAAAAAAAAATCATTCCCATGACTCCCTACACTAACCCTTAAGTGGACTCAATTTGCACTATTTCTGGCAGTCTGCAAAGGCCCTAAGATTCAAAGTGTGGTGTAGTACAAGCTAACATAATGTAGTGCTTTGGGTGGTGGACTGGATTTCTAGGGGACAGTGGTTCTAATTTCCATTCAGACTCAGAAAAACACCAGGTGACCTTTCTTAGCCTAAGACAAAAACAACAACAAGTCTCCTCTGAATAAATACTGTATTGCTAAAAGCCTTATAACAGATTTCAACCAGTAAGTCAGAGTCAATTTGAAAGCATGTAACAACAGCTGCAAAGAATCAAGTACAGATTTGATCTGTGCTAGTGACTGGAAGTTCGAAATCAGAAGGTGATACCCTTTATAGCTTAATGTGGACAGGAAGTTGTTGCTGTTGTTGTTAATGGTCC